ACACTATGCATAGATGTGGATATGGTCACTTTCTTTGAGTTAAATGCAAACTACTTTAGACCAGATGGCTTCTGGTCTGTAGATTTCTATTGAATTTCCTGAATTCCCCTAAACTGTTAAAAACAAACCCAAAAAACGAAAAGAAAAAATATCACAAGCTTTCATTTAAAAATTTGTTTTAGAGATTCTCATACTTGAGATTACAGCATCTGATTTTAGCTGACAAAGCTTTAAATTCCATTCTACTCCATGCTTGAAATTTGAAGGTTCTGAAAGGAATGCAGATGATTTACTTCTAACTTGCTGTGTTAGCTAGAGTAAATTATTTAACTGCTTTGTGCTTTTTTTTGGAGAAGAGGTTACATTAGTCTGCCTCTTGAGTGTTTCTGGGACACTTAAGTGTAAAAACCATCCTGCAGTACATTATCAAAAGTAACTCATGGCAGAATCTGTTTTTCTCTGCCTTGATAGCAGTGGATTGTGGAGTTTTAATTACTAATGTACTTTCCATGAGTCCCAGTGATGATAAGATGCACCATCAAAGTAACAGAGTAACAGTAGGGAGAGCAGAAGTATGTATCAATTGTAGTATACGTTTTAATTTCAGCAACATTAAAATGTAAACATATATACATATTAAAATTGAGGAAATGTGGTGATGCCTAATTCCCAGAGATGTTCTGAAAATTAAATAAGGTTCTCATTCCACACTGTTAAGTGGTACAATGCAAATATTATTACTTGCCTCACCCACCCCACAGTCCAGCCTTTAATAATATACTAGTGACTTGGAAAAAAAATGGATACGTCATTCAATTTGGGGATCAAATTTTTCATGAGAGTCATTTTTTAAAGGGGGGATATGTTATTCTTTTCTTTTTTTTTAAAACAGGGTTTCACTCTGTCACCCAGGCTGGAGTGCAGTAGCACAATCTTGGCTCACTGCAACCTCTGCCCCCTGGGATTCAAGCAATTATTGTGCCTCAGCCTCCCAAGTAGCTGGGAGCATGTGCCACCATACCTGGCTAATTTTTCTATTTTTAGTAGAGACAGGGTTTCACCTTGTTGGCCAAGCTGGTCTTGAGCTCCTGACCTCAAGTGATCCACCCCTGCCTCAGCCTTCCAAAGTGCTGGGATTACAGGCATGAGCCACCACATCTGGCCAAGGGATATGTCATTATCAACAATAGCTAATACACAAAGACTGTAGAACCAGAAGGAATCCTTTTTTTTTTTTTTAAGACAGAGTCTTGCTCTGTTGCCCAGGCTGGAGTGCAGTGGCACCATCTCAGCTCACTGCAACCTCTGCCTCCCAGGTTCAAGCAGTTCTCCTACCTCAACCTCCCGAGTAGCTGGTCAGTAGCTCAAACTCCTGACCTTGTGATACAGCCTCCTCGGCCTCCCAAAATGCTGGGATTACAGGTGTGAGCCACCGCGCCTGGCCCCAGAAGGAAATTTAAAGTTCAATGAATTTTATCCCCAAAGTTTATAATAGGGAGAGACAGGTTCAGAGAAATAAAATGACTTCTCTATATGCATATAGTTCATGGCACAGTTGAGACAGAAAGAAGACTTTTTATGGATAACATTGACTATTGTAAGTAATTGTGATTATATACAGTGAAGCATTGAAGCTAGCTTTGTAACTTCAGTTCAAACAAAGGAGTGATAGGATGCTAATCCCCCACATGCACAATGTTTTAGCAAAAGTACAGTGCAAGGATAAGCTGAATATGTTGTAGAATTAAGGCAGTAGGAATTGAGAGTGTGAAAGCTGTCAGAATCAAAATGGAGTCACTAATGTTAAAACAAAACAAAACAAAACTCTGACAAATAGAGCCATGAAGGGAGAATTTTCATGCATAAATGCCTCATAACAAAAACGACCACAAAAGACTCCAAAACCCACAACCTTGCACAGAGGCCATCGCAACCCTACACCAAAAACTACTTCTATCAGGACATCTGCCCAGCAACTGCCTGTCCAGCCTTGAACTAGCATCACCCTTGTTATTGATATGTGTAGCCAAGAGTAATTATTTCGAAACAATTATGCAATCTTCTTCATTTTTCCCTTAAAAACCTCTGTCTTCTGTTACCTCCCTGAATACACACAGAATTTACTATGGCAAGCATCTTTCCATTGCGGTACCTTTTTCTCAAATAAACCTCTCTTCTTTTAGAGAGCCTGTGTCTTTGTTATTTAGGTGACAAGAGTGCATGAGAAATGCATAGATGTAGAATTCTGATGTACTAGATCACCTCCTACCCCTGGAAAACAAAGCTACACTCAGCCTGAGTGGAGGAGTACTTGAACTTTAAGTCCTTCTGTACAGAAAAGGAGTTACACACCCCTCCAGGAGGCCACCCCTACCCCCGAGCAGTTTGTTTTGGTCCAAAAATGACAAAGCAGACTGGACCTCAGCCCTGTGACTACTGGTCTGGGGCAGACCTGTTCACAGTAGAACCATAAGAGGGTGTGACTTCCCTTGTGGTCACCAGGAGGCTGGGCTGAGCCGGCGTAAATGATGGCACTTGCTAGGGTCACAGAATGCATCTTTAAGTGCATTCAATTACAGACCTACCCATACACTGCATTTCTGACATGACCCTGTAGATTCCACAGCCCATTTCTGGAAGGCTTATCTGAGAGTTGCAGGCAGGATCCAGCTCATTGTGGCTTTATCCAGGCAAGGCAGATGAGGAGAGGTTGTTACCATCTCCCATCTGTGGCTACTGATGCCTGGTTAAATCGTTGTTCCAAGCCCCCCAGCTGAGAGGAAGTAGAGTCAGGTCTCTTAATGCTGTGCCATGCTCTATCTGGCCTTAGCTTGGCCTGCTCTTCAACTTTGACACAAAATGGAAGCAAGCTGCAAAGCCAGACGGAAGGTTCATACGGTTTTAAAACAGAGCCTGGCGTGGTGGCACAGGCCTGTAGTCCCAGCTACTTGGGAGGCTGAGGTAGGAGGATCGCTTGAGCCCAGGAGTTCGAGGTTGTAGTGACCTATGATCGTGCCACCGCACTCCAGCCTGGGTGACCCAGTGAGACCCAACCGCCGCCCCCACAACAAAAACAGAAAGTGGGAAACGCCGTCTGTATTTACAACTAGCTCGTTTAGTTCCCAGACATGAGTATTATGACAATATTCATTTGGCAGTTCAGGATCCGAGCGAAGGAAAGCCTAAGCGAGCTGCTGAGCGGGGCCAGTGGTCCCGGGGCGTCCTGACTTCCAAGGTTCTGGGCCTTCGTGCTGCCGCCAGGAGCTCGTCGCCACGCCCTGCCCCAGTGGTCCCCCTGCAGGGGTTCCTGTCCCCCAGGCACCGAGCCCCAAGCCTCGGCGCAGGCTGCAGCTTCCCTCTGCCTGACCCCGCCAGCTTGCGCCTCCTCACCCGGGAACTAGTAGAAGCCTGGGCCCGCGCCTGGCGCTGCAACTCCAGTCTTTAGTCTTTGTTCGGAGCACGGGAGAGGCATGGAGAACCTTGGAACCGGGGGAGGCATGACTTCAATATTCGTATCGCTGTTAAATAAACGATTTTCTAATTTGTATCTGTTTCATGCCAGCGTGAAACTTCTGTAGGCAGAGCTGGCTGCGCTGCCAGCCCTTCCTTCTGCTTGTCCCCACCCACCTCTGCCTCTCCCACCCAGCCTTCCCTCGGCAGCAGCGGGGAAGAACAGCCGAGCAGACCCAACAGCCGGGGCAGCGGGTGGGAGGCTGTTCCCGCAGCTCGTGGCTGGCATTGGAGAATGTGGAGATTTTCCCATTCATAAAAGGAACGTCCCCGCTCGCCGCCTTGCCGCTCGCGGTCTTGCTGTCCGCCGCACACCGCCACATCCACAGCGGGGTAGGGCTGGGTCTGGGGGCGTTCGGTTCCCAGGGCCTTACCCGGGCGTACTCTCGCCTTTCTCAGGAAGCCCCATTTTGTGAGCGGCACCGCGTGTCCTCGCTCAGTCCGTGCACACCGTTGACCTGGAACGCGGATGAGCACCCTTGGTTGAAACGAAGAGACAAAATGGCTTGTGGTTCAATTCATAAATAAAACCTCACTCTTGGACTTCAGGCTGCCCGACATTTTGTGACTTGCATTTTTTTGCTTTATCGTAGTTTAGGAAGCGACTGTCAGGCCACGCTGCCTATCCATTTCTAAACGACTGTCTTTTTAGGACCCCGTTTTCACCCTTCTATGGCAGTGGGTTGGGGGTGGGGGATGGAACTGGAGTGGCCCAGGGAGACGATGGCGGGGCGGGGCAGGGCGTTGTACTGATTCAAGATGCAATATCCATCCAAATAATGGATTGTTATTAACAATGATCCTCTCTGCAAAACCCTTAAAATTGCCCCTTGATTCCCTAGCAGCAAGAGGTGAGCCCTTATTCGCTGAGCTGAAGCCTCCTCCCCCTCCTCCCCATTACTCTCTGCTCTGGAAATTACAACTCGGCGCGCCGCGCTGGGAGGCGGCGGCAGCGGCTGGAGGGAGGCGGGGAGGGGATTCCCGAGCCAGCTGGGCGCTCGCCCTCCGCCCGCTGGCTGCAGCGTCTCGCGGCCAAGGTCAGAGGCTCCGCAGGAGCAGCATCTGGGAACCAGGGAAGCGGGTCAATCCCGGCCGCAGGGAGGAAGCCCCAGGGCGCAGTCAGCCGGCGTCCGCAGCCGCCGAGGAAGAGGGTGAGCGGCTGTCTCCCGGCCGGTCGGGTCCCACCGAGGTGGCCGCGGCCCCAGCGACCTGGTGGGTGGCGGCCCAGGGGTCGGCGAGCCGGCAGCTGGAGCCCCACCTTCGGCTCCCGGGCTCTGTCCACCGCCTCGTGGTGCTGATCCCAGCCCCGCAGCTGAGCGGCCTTCGCACCTGCCTGCTCACCTCCTGATCACCACGATAAGGAGCTGGGCGGGGGCAGAAGGGGGTCCTCGGGGTAGCCGCCCACCGGAGCCAGGGGCTGAAGCAGTGAACGCACAGCAGCCCGGCCGCTGGTCCTGGGGTGGAGAGGAGGCGCGCGCTGCAGCCGGCGGCGGCGCTGGTGCTGATTCATCACCTAAAGCTCCTCGCAGGCCACCGTGAGGGCAGCCGACCCGCTTCGGACTCTGGCCGCAGGTTGAAGCCGCCGGTGCGGTAGCCTCGCGGGCAAGAGGTGAGGACCCCCTCCCTTCTCTCGCCCCCCTATCATCTTAGGGCGGTGGCCACAGGACAGAGAGAGGGGCGTGCCCCTCGGCTGTGAAGTGGGCATGCCCGTGTGATGCCCCCGCCCGCCGTCTCACCGGGGCGCACCACGCTGGTCCTCCTCCGCCAGTCTCCCGAGCTCCGTCCATTCATCCCCAGCGCAGAGCAGCGCGGGCAGCCGGTGCCGCGATGGAGGAAGAGCTGAAGTGTCCCGTGTGCGGCTCTCTGTTTCGGGAGCCTATCATCCTGCCCTGTTCCCACAATGTCTGCCTGCCTTGCGCTCGCACCATCGCGGTGCAGACCCCGGACGGCGAGCAGCACCTGCCCCAGCCGCTCCTGCTTTCCCGGGGCTCGGGGCTGCAGGCGGGCGCCGCCGCTACTCCCACTCTGGAGCACGACGCGGCGGCGGGCCCGGCCTGCAGCGGTGCGGGTGGGAGTGCAGCTGGCGGCCTCGGCGGCGGTGCGGGAGGTGGTGGAGACCACGCGGACAAGCTGAGCTTGTACAGCGAGACAGACAGCGGCTATGGGTCCTACACCCCGAGCCTCAAGTCCCCCAATGGGGTTCGCGTGCTGCCCATGGTGCCTGCACCACCCGGCTCCTCCGCCGCCGCGGCTCGGGGTGCCGCCTGCTCCTCGCTGTCCTCGTCTTCGAGCTCCATCACGTGCCCGCAGTGCCACCGCAGTGCCTCCCTGGACCACCGCGGCCTGCGCGGCTTCCAGCGAAACCGGCTGCTTGAGGCCATCGTGCAGCGGTACCAGCAGGGCCGCGGGGCCGTGCCGGGGGCGTCTGCAGCCGCGGCGGTGGCCATCTGCCAGCTGTGCGACCGCACCCCGCCAGAGCCAGCAGCCACGCTCTGCGAGCAGTGCGACGTCCTTTACTGCGCTGCCTGCCAGCTCAAGTGCCATCCATCCCGGGGACCCTTCGCCAAGCATCGCCTGGTGCAGCCGCCGCCGCCGCCGGCGCCCGCCGAGGCAGCCTCTGGGCCCACTGGCGCCGCCCAGGGCGCCCCCAGCGGAGGCAGCGGCTGCAAGAGCCCGGGAGGCGCGGGGGCTGGGGCGACTGGGGGCAGCACGGCCCGCAAGTTCCCCACGTGTCCCGAGCATGAAATGGAGAACTACAGCATGTACTGCGTGAGCTGTCGAACCCCGGTGTGCTATTTGTGCCTGGAGGAGGGCCGGCATGCCAAGCACGAGGTGAAGCCGCTGGGGGCCATGTGGAAGCAGCACAAGGTGAGCCCCCGGGACGCGGGAGTGCAGGTGCCAGGGAAGAGGGTATGAGGAGAAAGGCTCTTGGCCTCTCCCTTGGAGAACTGGCAGAAAGTTGGTCAGAGGGTCAAGCAGGAATTACCTCACTTATTAGCCATTCATTCCATCAGATAGTCATTTGACAAACACGTAAGGAACTCCAGGTACTCTGGACTGGATGCTGGAGATGGGAAGGGTATGGAAAGATGACTTATTAGGTCCCCACCCACCTGAAGTTTTAGGATTTATGTAGGCACAGGGCACCCAAAACGCAGAAACAGGGCTCTTTTACTCCCAAAGTCTGACTAATAAGTTACCTTGATGGTCCCTTTTGAGTTAAAGCATGCAGGATCTCCTTTTCCCCTCTGCCACTCTCAGCAACTTATGGCTGGCAATGTGTCCTTGTATCTGATACTGCGAGAAAGAGACACGCCATCAAAATCTGGTCAGGTCCTTGATCAGACCCCAAGTCAAGACTAGAGTTGGTTTTTCCAACATTCACCTAAATTTCCCATCCAAAGGCCAAAGATGAGCAACTGGACTCTCTTCCCGAGAGGTCAATGAACTAGGCCTGGCAGAGTTAGCATCTTGTGGAAAGGACCCCTAACTGCCTCTGGAACTTCAGACACCAATTATTCCGTGTGCTCTTATCAGTAAACTCTCACTGCAGAGGCAAGAGGTCTCCGAACAGCCCGGCCAGAAATAAATATTTGAATTGAGGAGGAAAATAAAGTAATTGGCCAAGGCTATCCAACTGGAAATAAGCAAAAAGTGAGCACAGATGAAAGGAAGAGACTAAGAAACTAACCATTCCTATATAGATTTGCTGTTCATATATCATTACTCTATAGTATTATCTGCTATAATAAGCATATGTTGTTATTATAATTTAACATTTTAGAATTAAAAATTAGAAAAAACAAATGTGAAACACTTTAGGAATCCACCTTTAAGAGGAGAATTTGCATAATACATAGGAAAAAAAAGATAAATATGTAGTCAAATCCCTAGTTCTAGAGCAGTAGCTCTCAACTGGGTCCAATTTTCACCCCTTACCCCAACCCCTCCCAACATTTGGCAATGTCTGGGGACACTTTTAGTTGTCACACCTAGAGGGTTCCACTGAAATCTAGTGGATAGAGGCCAGGGAAGCTGATAAATATTCTACAGTGCACAGGAAAACTCCCCAAAACAATTGTCCAGCCCCAAATGTCAACAGTGCTCTGGAGAGAAATCCTGCTCTATAGTTACACAGACCTGTATCCAAATCTTAGGACTTGCAATTTGCTAGCTGTATGAGTCTAGGCACAATTTAAAACCCATTGGAAAAAATATCAAACTTAGACAATTGTGGTAAGGATTAAGTATAATACTGTATGTTGAGCCTCTAGCACAGCACCTTAAATATAATTGATAAATAACAGTAAATGTTACTGCTGATTTGTATAGTCATAATACTTAAAACCAGCGAATTTGCAGAAAGCTACAGGGCAGTAGCAAAGAGTGCTCATTTGGCCTCATTGACTTGGTTAGCTAGAGAAAACATGAGCTGGCAAATTTTGGTAGTGTTTATGCTGAGTCCTAAAATAGCTTTGAGCTGAATCAGAATGGTTGCCTTGAATTAGTTATCATTCATATGACATTTTGTTGCATATTGCTTTACAGTAATTGCAGCTATCTTGCTTATTTCATCTTTTAAGTGAATAAACATCACTTTACAAATACATAAATTACTTGCAAAAAGGGCTGTGACCAATTACCAAGACAAGAAGTACAGATTCCCTATCTCACATTCAGATTTCACAAACTGCTAAATCTTCACCACTTAGAGAGCCAAAACTAATTCTGAGTGTTGCCACTCAGATGTTCAGAATTAGTGAAGAGTGGAAACCAAAGAGAGTCGAGGTGAGAATTTGCAATTATAAGAGAAATTAAGTGTCTTACATGGAAAAGTGAGTTGGATAATGAGCTACAGTTTAAAGAACTAAGGTTGTACAGGAAAAATTATTGGTCATCCCTTGCTTGGTGTCAACAACAGTTTTATAAAATTTCTATCCTCAGCCAGCAATGCAAAGTTATGAGGAAATCTGGGAAGCACATGTGATATCTGCCCCCTACAGTGGGCAGTGTAAACTGTGGGAATATGACCATGCAGGATCTCAATTTTATGACATCCTCCTAAATCCAGAAGAAACACTACGAGATGCTTTTGTGAACACCTGTTTTCAAGAATGAATAGAAGTGCTGCTGTTCTTCTTCAGCAAATACTATTGATTTCTACAGAAAGGAAAATTACTAAGTGCTTATTATGAGCATTTCACCTGGGGGCTGGCAATTAAAAGAAATGATAAATGGGAGAGCCTTGGTCAAACACTGGTGGTCTTGCTTTGTGGCTGGACATCTAGACCAGCATGCATGCTGCGAGGGTGGCTACTTTTGAAAGACAAACTAGAACACTTCATTAAGACTCCCACTGTTGGCAATTTAAGTTTTACAGTAAAGCATAAAGTCTCTGGATTTTGTTGTTGTTGTTGTGATCTAAAAATCTCAGAATCTTGACAAAGCCTCATTGCATCACTAGAACTAGAATTGGGACAGCAACATTTCTCTAATATTCCTGTGATTAAAGAAGCTGTCATCAAAGCCTTGCTTTAATTTTTCTCTGGCATTACTGCAGCTTGCCTTCTGATTAGTGATTCTTAAGTAAAGACATATATATGTGACACTGAAATCTGTTTTAAAACAAGATTGATAATCACCTTTTAAAAGCAGTGTAAAAAACTTTAGGTCTTGGCTAAACACATTTCTATATGAATTTCTTGGGAAAGGATTAACTGTTTCAAAGAGCCTCTGATGTGAAGATGGGATAGGGAAGGGTAACTGTACAGGAGAGCTTTTGGTTTTTTGCTTCTTGATTATGAAAATCTGTTTTTCCTGAAACTGGAGGAAAGGGTTATTGTGTACCATAGCTCTTTCCTAGTGTGACATGCCACAGAATGTCAACATCTATAACTCCTAACTCAGGGAGAACTCTGACCAGCTGAGTACAGATGACCAGCTCTGAATTAAACTGGGTAGGAGTTGATTCCTAAGTTGGGGTTAGAGAATAATTCTTTTTCTTTATAGATAAGCTCTTCTTCTGGAGTTCTTTGAGAGCCATGGTAAATAGAAAGAGCCTTAAAAGAAAATCTCGCTGATACTCCAGGAGTACTATTCCCACTGAGTCAGCACCTCACAAAAGCAAGGGAGAGGGTGTGGCCTGGAAAACTCAAGAAAGACAGGACTTTTTATCACTCGAATGTCTTTTTTTTTTTTTTTAAGAGATGGGGTCTTACTACATTGCCCAGGCTGGTCTCCAACTCCTAGCCTTAAGTGATCTTCCTGCCTTGCCTTCCCAAAATGCTAGAATTACAGGTGTGGACCACTGCACCCAGCCAACTCCCACATCTTAAAGCTCTACCAAAAGGCATGTGGCTTCTCAGCCTTACCTTATTTTGTAAAAAGGGTATGTTAAGCTTTAAAGGCTGAGAGGAAGCACCTCTGCTATTAAAAGGGATAGCACATACATGACAAAGAACATGTAGTTATAGTTGCACTATGATCACAGGTAAAAATATTTTAATATTTGTAATTCTTTTTTTTTTTTTTAAATATTTTGAGACAGAGTCTCTTTATGTTGCCCAGACTGGAGTGCAGTGCTGTGATCACAGCTCACTGTAGCCTCAACTTCCTGGGCTCAAGGAATCCTCCCACCTCACTCTCCCAAGTGGCTGGGACTACAGGCACACCCCACCACCATGCCTGGCTAATTTTAAAATTTTTTGTAGAAACGAGGTCTTGCTCTGTTGGCCAGGCTGGTCTCAATCAAACTCCTGGTCTGAAGCGATCCTCCCACCTTGGCCTCCCAAAAGCCTGGGATCACACCTGTAGGCGAGAGTGACTGCACCTGACCAATGTACATCATTTCTGATGGCTGCCTGCCATTTCATCACAGGCATTTATATTTTATTTCATCAACACCTTAGTACTGAACTTTGGGTTGTTTTCTTTCTTTTGCTGTTACAAACATTTTGTTTGTTAAATCTATGCCTACACTCTTAATTATTTCCTCAGGTTACATTTCTAGATATGGAATTGCTATGTCAAAGGATACCTGACTTTAAGATATCTAATGTTTCCAAATTACAAAGGTAATTTGTAGATTACCTTTGTAGATGACACCTACTTAATAACAAAATTATGTAAACAATTAAAAATTCACGTGAATAGGGACCACAGGGAGAAATGATAAGGTGGATTTGTCTTCTCTCTCATAATTATTATTTGCTATTTTCATTACATTATTGTTAGAACTATTTTTAAAAAGAAGATGACATGTTATTTTCATATTTTTAACTACTACTAGTTAGGGATCTTCCCTCAACAATTGATTTAACATGTACAGATATTCTTCACTGTAACCTCTTGGATTTTAAGGTCCGTGAAAAGGCAAGGCCTTGGGGGCCCACCTAAGGCATTTTCAGGTGGGGTTGGGTAGGCCAAAAGAGTTAGGTAGGGAGAAGTATTCGGTAAAACCCTTCCGGGGGGCCTGAAGTCTACAACTCTACGGCTGATGACTGTACACTTGCTGCCAACTTTAAGCAGAGTGTTTGGAGTCCAAACTGAAAAGAGTCCGCCAGGGCTCTCAGAGCATGTGGCATGGAAATATGCTCATTCTCATTCTGAATGGAAGCCCTAGATTTTTTTTTTTTTAATTTTTATTTGTTGAGACAAAGTCTTGCTCTATTACCCAGGGTGGAGTGCAATGGCACTATCTCAGCTCACTGCAACCTCTGCCTCCTGGGTTCGAGCAATTCCGCCTCAGCCTCCCAAGTAGCTGCAATTACAGACATGCGCCACCACACCCAGCTAATTTTTTGTATTTTACAAATTTTGACAGGGTTTCGCCATGTTGGCCAGGCTGGTCTTGAACCCCTGACCTCAAG